AGAAAAGACTCAGGACAATGGATAACACCAAGAGTATACAAAAGCAAAGACTGAGTGCAGGCATAGGGAACAGAAATCAATCCTGACTGTACTCTGGTGAAATTCTGTGCAGAGATAAGTTCATAGTCATATCTCTTCAAACCCCACCTTTTCCCTTGCCACAAAGCCAAGGTGCAGATACCACATATTGGCTTCTTTTGTCTTGATTTTGTCATAACATAATTGAAGGAAGAGCCATGTCTGAGTAGAACATTCAACCTGGGTACTTTGGCACTAGAAGAAAATTTGGTTGGTGCAAATATGTGTCTATCAGTTAGTATGTCTCATTTACATATTAACAATTCTTCATTATAGAAGTTAGAGAGTAAAACTATATCACTACCTCTTCAAAGGATTTTGTGAATCAGAAATAAACATACAGTAACAAACTTATAGGAGGAGAATAAGTCTTAGACTTAAGAAGTAGAAAGAAGCTAGCATTCAATTCCACTAAGCAAACATTCAATGTGACAGAAAGGAATATTTACACTTGATCAACAGTAAGAAAAAGGCACAGAGTGAAGGCAGCATTGAATCTGGCAAAAGCCTGAACTGGGCACAGTTGGATGAGAGACTGAATTTCAAGACTATTTACCTGAGTTTTTTGTCACTTTTGCTAACATTATTATTTTTTTCTTTGTAAAGGAGTTTATAATGTTATTTATACCTTATTTTAAATTTGGTCTCTCATACTCAGAAAATATGATTCAGGTGGGATAGAATTCAGAAAGCAATTCAAATTATTTACTAGTTGTGTGTGTGTGACCACACATTGGAGGAAAGATTCTGCACAGAAGTCGTTATAGGGTGCCATTTTATTTCATTTTAGCAACCACTATGAATAACCATGAAAGAAGAGTTGATGGCTTCAAAGTGTGGTGTTGGAGAAGAGTACTGAATATTCCATTGACTGCCAAAAGGACAAACAGATATATCTTAGAGAAATTGCAGCCAGAGTGCTCCTTGGAGGCAAAAATAACAAAACTTTGTCTTACATACTTTGGCATGATGTGAGTAGAGGCTATTCCTTGGAGAGGGACATCATGTTTAGAAAGATGGAGGGTCTGCGAAGAAAAGGGAGACCCTCAACTTGACACAGTGATTGCAGCAATGGACTCCAACGTGTCAGAGATTGTGAGGATGCCGCAGGTTAGGAGAGGGTTCAGAGCTGTTGTACATAGAATCACTATGAGTCATACTTAACTCGACGTCATCTAACAACAATAGCATGTCAGAGGAGACATCTGTCATGGGAAAATGATGGCTATAATCACTAGCAAAACAAACATTGGTTGTTTTTGTTGTTGTTTTAAATCTATGTAGGCATGTCTTTCACATCATTTCAATTTTGTGACTTCTATAACTGAAACCCAATTGTGATATGGCAGATATCTAGGAAATAAGTTACTTGATTTTTAAAAATGTGTCAACTACTGGTCATTTCCCTAACAGAAATGATTTAAAAAGAAATAAATATTAAGAAAGAAAAAAGAAAAGCTACATTTCAGTCTTCTTTATTGGATTCATTTGTCAATTAATAGTTTATAAGAGAATCTTAAAGGTAGATTTCTGGAGAACAAATCCTGCATGAGCGTTCAGGTAGAAAGCAGTCATTCTCGAGCCATTTGCTTACACTGGAAAGTTGACTGTTACAGGACAGGCTAGTCAAGCAAATAATAAAGCATTGAGAAGAAGGAATATATTCCAACATTTTCTCAATTTGTAATATATTAGAATATTCCTTTAAAAAGACAGATTTATTTGAATTTTTAAAGGAATTGAAAAATGGCTAAAGTTACATTTTTTAAATGCCCCAAATTATTTGTTTATATGAACAACTTCTGACTTGGCTGGTTTTGGATTGAAATAGCCTGATATTTTCTTTATCTTTTTAGAGGGTGTATTCTTTGTGTAAGAACCTCGTTTGCTTAGAAATTGTTTTTGAGTGTCTTTTGGCCACCGTTTCTTCCTGGGGTTTGTTGGCTCTGCTTTGTCCAGACGCTAATCCTGCTTCCTCTGTTGAGCACTCTGTGGTACTGAGCTACCCACTCTCTGGAAGGCCTGGTACATGGGCCCCGGTGATCAGCTGACCACACCATGGCTAAGGGTTGCACTTAAAGAAAAAAAAAAAAAAAGGAGCCATGGTCTTTAATCATCTTAGTTTCAGAGCTAGAATTTATCCCAACAAATCTTCCATGGACAGCAATGGTAAATCTCTTTCGAACTAGGGCTGGCTACATTTTTTATTACTTTTTATTTATTTTTTTTCTACTTCATCTGGCTTCAGCCATCAATTTTGAATAAAAGATGTCGGTATGTTGCTTTCGTGTAGCATTAAGTTGGAACCAACCCATAACTGGCCCTCTGACAGGTTTTCACAGGCAGTAATCGTATGGAAGTAAATTGCCCATCCCTCCACCATGGAGTAGCTGGTGGATTCACGATCGCAATCAATCTATATCTATCTATCTATCTATCTATCTATCTATCTATCTATCTATCTATCATCTATCATCTATCATCTAGTTGTTGATTGCAACTCATAGTGACCCTATGAACAAAAGACCCTCTACAACTATTGATATTTATCAAAGTTCATAGTTACCAGAGGCATGTTGTTTAGGAAGTGGATGCCACTCCTGCTTCCAAATATAGATAGATAGATGATAGATAGATAGATAGATGTAAATATATACACACACACATCAACACACATCAATACATACACACAAATATATATAAATATATGCATATTTATATATATAAAATAAATATATATAATATATATATATAAACACGCGAATATATCTCTATCTATTTATGCAAGTTCTTGTAGATTACTGAGTTAGAACCAACCCCAACTGTAGCTGACCCTTCAACAGGTTTTCAGAGACAGTTTATTTTTATCATCACGGGGAGGAGATTGTTCATCCTTCTCCTTTGGAGCAGCTGGTGGATTTGTACTGCATACCTTTGGAATCTTCTTACCACTAGGCCACCAAATATCCCTATGTATACATGAAATATATGTATACTGAAGACCCTGTTGTCAACACAAAGACAAGAGTTAATTGATGAGCACCTCTGACAACCTCCTGGTAGTAAATGATGCTCTGTTATATAATAAAGTGTCACTGTCAAAAGGAAAGGTAGGTATGATCTCTGTTTTTGTTTTTATCAAGTTATTATCAAATGTATGTGTGTTTCTTGATTATTCTGTTTAATCTTATGGGCAATAGAAATGCTTCATAAACTTCAGAGTCTACTTGTAAATTTGGATACTGCATGGTAACAGTAGCTAAGAAATAGTGTTACTTTGAGAAAAATCTACTGTCAAGGACCTCTGCTAAGTGCTAAACAACAAGGATGTCAGTTTAATTTAAACTAAGGTGCACCTGATCCAAGCTATACCCTTTTCAATTACTTTTTATGTATTTGTAGGTTGTGAAACAACTAAGGATGACAGAGAAGAACCAATGCCCCTGAATTGTGGTGTTGGAGAAGAATGGTGAGTAGCCTATGAACTGTCAAAGGAATAAACAGGCCATTTTGGAGACAACCAGGGTAATCCTTGGTGGGAAAGATGGGAAATTTGGTCTCACATACCTTGGGTATGTTGTCAAGAGGTACTGGTCCTTGAAATAGACATCAAGCTAGGAACGGTAGAGGGTCAGAGAAAGAGAGAACAACATCCAAAAAGATGGATTGAGACAACGACTGTAAAAAATGGGCTCAAGCATGTCATCTTGAGGATGGTGAACGAGAGTGCAAGGTTCAAATCTATTGTTCATTGGATCTCTTTGAGTCTAGTCAACTTGATGACACTTAGCAACAACAACAAGCACTTATATCTCCTCAAACAATTCTTGTAAATTTTATTTATCCAAGTTTTGCTATTTTGTATTATTATGAGGCCTAGTGGCAAGAAGTTGTTCTGCAATCTCAAAGGTACACAAGTTTGAATCCACCAGCTACTGTGAGGAAGAAGGATGGGCGATCTCTTCCAACAGTGTTTACTGCCTCTGAAAACCCACTGGTAGATCACCTATGAGCTGACTCAGACTCAATGGCACACAACAACAGCACAGTGGAATGGTGGAGGGTCAGTGCAAATGAGGAAGATCCTCAGGAAGATAGATTGACACAATGACTGTAGTAATGAAGTAAAGTGTGTTAGACATGGTAAAGTTGACTTCAGGATAAAACAAAGTTCATATGTGTTGTTCATAGGGTCACTTTTAGCCATGGATGACTCAACAGCACATAACGACGACAACAAAGAGGAATTTAAGGGCTTAGTGGTAAGAGGTTAAGCTGCTAACTAAAAGGCAAGCAGTTAGAATCCACCATATTCTGCAGGAGAAAAAATTACAATCTCCTCTGATGTAATTTATTGCCTTTGAAAACCCACTGGAAGGTCAACTAATGAGTTAGCTCCTACTTGACAACAGTACACAGTAACAACATAGTAATTTAGATCATTTAACATTATTCTTTTAATATTATTGCATATCAGCATGTGCAACAATAAATCTTGCAAATATTTTACAAATAACAGTTGTCATCAGTCCTCCCTTATCATCTTTGATTTACAGGTACTGAAAAGCTTTCCTTGTTGAAATTTATTTTCATAGAAATCTTCATTTTGGTTGCCTAACTCCCAATTACATAACAACATTTGGTATCTGTTCATTCTCCCCATTCATGGCTCTGTATTTATCCCTCTTAAACTTTGATAGACCATCAAGAATATCCACAGAGCAGTACATGCAACCCTTTATTGTCCAGGAGATGACCCAAGCCTAGCACCCAAGACACTCTAGTACCTGGCTAGCACAGGGAAAGGAGAGTGCTTTCTGGATAGAGGTGATGCGTTCGAGTGAGTGTGGCTGTGAACATGAAGGCAGTTTACTTTTACAGTTCAGTAGCTGGCCCCCCTCTGGGTTCTTGGACAGGCCTACCTTGGCAGACAGACTCTGCGGTTTGTTGGAGAGGACCTCAGCAGCTTCCCTGCAGCGGGTGGAAAGGTTCAGGATGGCAGCAGCTGCTGCTATGTGGGTGTCTTCACTACACTGACCATAGCTATAAGAGCTGGCACGGCCAGGGCTCTGTGTGTGGGCGCCTGCACTAGGCAGTCGGCTCGGAAATTTCAGCGGGTTTGAGAAATGCTTTGCTGTTGAAGAAAGATTTGAGTAGTGATTGCATTATATGTCTTTAGCCACTATATTTGTTTGTAAGATATAACTACTTTCATTAAAATATAGGAAGAGTAAATTAAAACATAATTCACTGAGATAGTAAATGAAGGTTGTATGGATTGACTTTAACAGAAACTTACAGATCAATAATGCAGTTGCTGGGACAGATTGCCTATTCTTTTAATATTATTAATTTCTATTTTCACTTCTGACAAAAGCTCCAAAAGTTATGTTATGGGGCAGGTACACTGGCAAAGTTTGTGACAAAATAATAGATCAAAACCTCATTAACAAAATCCACCAGGTATTGGTGTGGCCTGAGGTGAGCTCATCTAAAAACTGAGAAATATAAGGATGGTTGAGGCTGGGTAAAGAAGAAATGTAGTCTTTAACTTTGTATTTCACAATACTAAGTTAGGTACCTTCATTATTTAATATATACGTTTATTTTGTACTTAAAACAGTAGAAGTTGTTCTACAGTCCATCAAATAAATAGTAGAGTCTTAACTGAGTCTACATTTTGCACATTCAGATTGTGTGCAATAAGCAAAGGAAAAAGAAAATTTTCTGAAAGTGAGCAGAAAGGCTATTTAGATATCAAGGCTGGTTTTGTATTTTATGTTTCTGTTGTGGGTACCAAGATATATTGGTAAGTTAAATTATACATCTTTCTCTTCACTCTGCCATATTGTACATATTCAAGATTATGGAGAAGTATCTCAGCTTTACTGTGAGATAATATCAGCACACTTAGTTACTTATTTAACTTTAAATATGGTTTATTTTAAAAATTTGGTTATAATTTACCATAAGCGAAAATTTAAAACATCATAAAATATTACTCCTTTAACTCTAAGAATATGGAAATATCATAAGACATTTGCCTTTTTTTAAATGAAGCTACATACTGTATGTATGAATATACAGAATACTGTCATTAGCTAGTTTCACTTGAATTAAGTACCTATACATAGCGTGTATGAGTTTTTGCATATTTTGTGTGTGTGTGTGTGTGTGTGTGTGTGTGTGTATGGTAAAAGATAACATTACAATTTTGTATATCTGTGCATATTTTCTTCACTAAATTGAACCAGTTGTTAATGGTTATTTATGTTACTAAAATATATTTTTGGAAGAATAGGTAAAATGAAGTATCTTTGAAGCATAACATGCTCCACATAAATGAGTAAACTCCCTTCAAATCTGTTTGTTTATTACTGGGTTTTACGGAGCATTTCAATTTTTTGCAAGATTTGATCAATATTATATAATGAAGCCAATATCTCCTAAAGTTATTCAGTGTAGGCAACTTGGTGTGAGACCAGAGATTTCATGGACTTGTAAATAAGTCATTGATAACTTGTTATTCAAGTTGGGAAATTTTCTTTAGAAAGCTCCCTATCTCTCATTGCTGTCAAGTTGGATCCAACTCATAGCTAACCTCTAGTGGGTTTTCAGAGGCTATAAATGCACAAAAGGAGAGATTACCCATCTTTCTCCCATGCAATAGCTGGTTAATTCTAACTTCCTGCCCTTAGTTTGGCAACTCCTTACGCACTCAGCCAACTTTAGAAAGCATACATTAGGAAAAAGAATAAATTAATGCAATGAAGAAGTGATTTTATATGTTTATCACAACTTCACTTTCTAATCTTTTCACTGAAATATTTAGGGATTATTAGGTGAATTTTATGTTTGTGAAAATACTGCTTTATATATACCATCTTTGAGTTAGAGTTATAGTCTTTGAGGTGTATAGCATAATAGAGTATTAATTTATTTTACCTGTGTATATAAAAATGTTAGAACTCTGGTGATGGCCCAGTGCTTTGGAAATTGCACTAGCAACCCAATCCATAGCCCTTGTAATCTCACTCAAGAGTTAGCTATGAATTGATTCTCAGTAGACAGCAATGAGTTGTGTTTTTTAAATTAATACTTATATTTTATTAATACTCCAAGCTCTACGAGAGTGTGTGAACACCCAAACACACATTTCATTCTAGTAAAAACTTGATTCTTAAAAGAAGTTTTTTTTCTTAGACTTTTCACCACTTTCTCACACCTTCAGACTTAAAGTTTTTGTTAATTTAAATTATTTGTAGATAACATGTCAACATTATATCTATTAAATTACCAAAACTTCAATATGAATCAAAATTATATAATAGCTACTATATTATTTAACATATTTATCCCAATCTCAGCTAAATGAAAATGTTAAGTATTCCCATGAAATGATAATATTTATATAAACAATGGCACTATTAGATTTGTAGAATAAATTATTCCATTAAATATCTCCATATTCAGTGTATAACCAATTACAATGATTAATTTATTATTTACTTACTTAATTTAACTGGACAATACATTTTACCTCCTCCTGGCTGCAAAGATTATATATATTTGACAACACATACAAGCACACATGATGTTTTATTTAAGAAACAAGCATTAGAAAAAAAATAGAAAACCCCCAAAAAGCAAAAAAATAAGCATTAGAATGGGAAACTTACCTTCAAAAAATGGTGGTGTTCTCCGTCCTTGTCCTGTTTGTAGGAGTGGGCGCTTGCCAAAAACTTGAGCATCAAAACTGGCATAATCAAATGGTACTTTCCCCAACTTCTCTTGTTCTTTTGACACAGTGGCTCTGGAAGAGGCTATGGCTTGTGATTGGAAATTGAATTCAATTTGCTTCACTACATTTGTCCTGAAGAGAGGGGAGGATAGGTCAAAAGAAGTAAGGTAAAACTATAGATGAGAATGTTAGTATCAGAAATGAAATGGACTGGAGATGTAGCTACCACTGGATCTCATAGAGGTATCTCTCACACTCTACAGGAAACTAATCACAGATGCCCTTGAGGGTCTGTGGAGCTATGGTAATGGGCCTATTCTGGGTTCCAGATTCACAAACGAGTATAGTGGGAACATGCAGATACATCTAGGGACATGTATTAAATATACATTAGCTCTTTGAGCTTCTTAAAGTATCATCACTAAGCACTGGTTACTGAAAAGACAAGGTTTGGAAAAGTGACTTGTTAGGATTATTAATCAGGTTAGCAATGAGAATGCTTAGTCATAACTGAGGACATGTCACTGCATTCTACTCAGAAGGCAAGGGCTTAATTCTTATCAGCTTTGCAAATTTTAAGTTTGTTCCTAGATATTTTATAACTTTCCCTCATTATCAGTCTTTTTTGCTGTATTAATAAATTTTGTCTTTTAAATGGCCTCAATTTCAATATCAATCCCTATATTATTTTATTATATTACAGTTGTTCTGCTGTTTAGTGCAGTTGAGGCAACCCCAACTCTTAGAGATCCTTGCACAATCCTGTACAATCCTCACAGTTTCTGCTGTGCTTAAGGCCTTTGTTGTAGCCACTATATTGACCCATGGAATTGAGGGTCTTCTTCTCCTCCACTGACTATGAAGTTTGCCTTTGAATATTACTTTTCTCGTGTGGATGACTGACTCCGTGTATGGGTGGGAGTATGAGAATTAAGCATATTGGTTTATCCGCAAAATGACTGGCTATCTACCATTCCACAAAGAGATCGGCCAATCTAAAAAAATCTACAAGAAGATTGGTTAGTGTTGGGGGGAGGGGTGGGCAGGGAGAAAAATTCAACAATGAATGTATGGAAATCCAAAATATCTGTAAACATTCATTAAAATTAATTTTAAAAAAAGAAGATTGGCTAGTTTCGCCAGTAAATGGAATAGTTCTACTTGCAGGGTAGGATCTTACCACATCAGAGAAGAGGAAAGAGACCTCTTTCAACAAGTGAAATGTAGGACATGCTTCAGACTGCAGTAGCAGCCATGGCTGAACTGGAGAAATGACGTGAGTTGAGATGAGACATTGGAAGCAGGAAGTCAATATTGGCAGGATTGAGAACTTGGAAACACTTAGGGCCATGAGGCTCGAGACTGAGGTATGGAGACAGGATGCATCCCTTATACACACCTCTCCTGCTCCTAAACCATGCAGTGTTTCCCTGTTCTGTTCTGACTACTGCTTTCTTGACCAAGTATAGATTTTGTATGAGCACAATTAAGTGTTGTGGGATTCCTATTCTTCTCAAGTTTAGCTACAATTTCTTGTGATATACACAGTCAAATGCCTTTGCATAGTCAATAAAACACAGATCGACATTCCTCTGGTTTTCTTTTCTTTCATCAAGATCCATCTAACATTGGCTATGATATCCATAGTGTCATGCCCTCTTTTAAATCCAGCCTGCACATTCGGCAGTTCTCTTCTGATATACTGTTCCAGTCATTTCTGGATAAACTTCAGCAGGTTCTTGTTTTCATGTGGTATTAGTGATACCATTCAATAATTTCCACACCATAGTTATCCCAATCCTAGTTAGATATTAATTAAACATTCTTTTATAATTACTATATTTAAATTAAGGAATGTCATAATATTTGCATGACACATATTGTAGCCAAAAAGACACAAATAAGACCTTCTGAAATTTAGTAACTTATTTTCTATCTGCATTATGTAGATGACACAACCCTGCTTGCTGAAACTGAAGAGGACCTGAAGCACCTGCTGCAGAGGGTCAAGGACTGCAGCCTCTAATATGGATTGAGGCCAACTGACTGAAAGAGATCTATATTTGTTCCTATCCCAAAGAAAGGTGACCCAAAAGAGTGTGGAAACTATAGAACAATCTCAGTGATTCCACACGCAAGCAAGATTTTACTGAAGATTATCCTAAAGGACTGGAACAGAACATCAGCAGAGAACTACCAGAAGGCCAAGCTGAGTTTAGAAGGGGTCATGGTACTAGGGATATTAAACTGATGTTAGATGGATCTTAGCTGAAAGCAGAGAATACCAGAGGAGTGCCTATCTGTGTTTCATTGACTGTGCAAAGGCATTTGACTGTGTGGATAATAACAAACTGTGGCTGACTCTCAGAAGAATGGGAATCCCAGAACACTTGATCGTGCTAATGTCAAACCTATACCTGGACCAGGAGGCAGTCGTCAGAACAGAGCAAGGGAATACTTCATGGTTCAAAATTGGGAAGGGTGTACACCAGGGATGCATCCTATCTCCATACCTTTCAACCTATATGCAGAACAGATTATCTGGGAGGCTGGGCTCTATGAGGAGAAATGTGGGGTCAAGATTGGTGGATGATTTATCAACAATCTGCATTATGCAGATGATACAACCCTGCTTGCTGAAAATGAAGAGGACCTGAAGCACCTGCTGCAGAGGGTCAAGGACTGCAGCCTACAATATGGATTGAGGCTCAATGTCAAGAAGACAAAGATTCTCACCACTGGACCAATTGGCGGCATCAGGATGGATGATGAAGAGATTGAAATTGTACACAGCTTTAGTTTGCTTAGCTCCACAGTCAACACTCTTGGCACCAGTAGGCAGGAAATTAAAAGGCGCATTGCCATGGGAAAGTCTGCTGTTAGGGACCTCTCCAAAGAACTGAAGAACAATGGTGTCTCTCTGGAGACTAAGGTGCATTTGATACAGGCCATGGTCTCCACAACCACTTAAGCATCAGAGAGTTGGACAATGACCAAGGACGATAGAAGGAGAATTGATGCCTTTGAGATGTGGTGCTGGAGAAGAGTATTGAGAATACCATGGACTGCTAGGAAAACAAACAGATTCGTCCTGGAAAGGTTTAAACTGGGTGGCTCCTTGGAGGCAAGGATTCTGAGGCTCCGTTTAACATACTTTGGACATGTTGTGAGGAAAGACCAGTCCTTGGAGAAGGACATTATACTTGGGAGGGTGGAGGGACAGCACAGGAGGGGAAGGCCCTCTATGAGGTGGATTGATTCACTGACTGGGGTAATCGGGATGGGAGTGTCAGAGACAGTGTGATTGGCACAGGACAGAGCAGAGTTTAGGGCTGTTGTACATAGGGTCGCTATGAGTTTCAAGAGACTCAACCGCTACTACAGTATTTTGAAAGTGTTTGAGATATTTCTTTAATTATGTACAACTCTAAATGTTGATGTTTTGTATGGATCGCAAGTATAGCATTCCTTAATTCTTTCTCCTATTTGTCATAATTGTTATTTAAAAAACATACTGACCTTTTTAAAAAATTTATATAAACTCCAAGGAAACTGGACTTGTGAAAAAAAACCCAAAAAACAAACAAACAAAAAAAACTGTCAACAACATCATCTTACTTGGATCTACAATTAACATCCTTGGTACCAACACTCAGGAAATCAGGAGATGTGTTGCACTGGGAAAGTTTGCAGTTAAGGACATCTCCAAATTATTGAACAGTAATGATGTCAGTTTCAGGACTGAGATGCATCTGATTCAGGCCATGGTTTTTCTGATCACTTGCTATACAGCTGAGACCTGGACAATGAATTGGGCTGATAGAAGAATAATTTCTTTGAGTTGTGGATTTTTTTTAAATGATAAAATTTATTTCACTTTTGAAATTTTACACTTTTCCTGATTAATCTGTTTAAGGTGAAACTATGAACTGTTTAAAAGACATACACAAATCTAGTACATCAATAACCAGGGAAGTTTTCTTTTTTGCTATACTATTTTCACAACCACGGGTGTGCTTGCTAGGCAATATAACCATCACAGAAGCAAACGGGAGGCAGAATACTGGTAAGGAAAAACAAAGCAAGAAAGCGCTACCAGATATACAGACAGGCTCGGTTCCACATTCACTACTGCGTATATCAAGCGCCAAGTATTAACTGCACATTTTTGTTCAGCTAGGAAGGAAGAGGGAGGGTATTTTTTTTTCTTTTTTTGGTTTGTTTTAAATCAGTGCATGATTTTTTTTTTCTCTTTTCAGCAGATGGACAAACAAATGGGCTTTACTGGTACACGGAATGTTAAGGGTAGAGGGGACAGCGTGAAGGATTGGCCGGCTCTTCCTGATTCTCTCCAGTGCAATGTCCATGCAACTTCCCTGAATTATTATAGGGTCTTGTGTCAACACGTCTGGGAACTTAGCTGGATGAGTACTGTAGGAGATCCAGTGATGGGTACTAACAAGCATTCTCAGGGCTGGCTGCATTACAGGGAGAAATTATGGATATTTCAGAATACGTTTTGGACTCAGGTCTTGGTGTGCCTGCAAAGCAACAATTGTGCTGAGAAGTGGAGGAAGACAGCTAGCTAGGAGGCTGGGAGTCCTCAACTCTCACCCATTAGGGATTTTAATATGACACTTACTATCCCATGGACTGTGAAAAGAACAAATAAATATATCTTGGAGATGGTACAGCCAGAGCGCTCTCTGGAGGCAAAGATGATGAAGCTTCACCTCACATACTCTGGGCATGTTGCTAGAGGAGGCTATTCCTTGGAGAGGGACATAATACTTGGAAGGGTGGAGGGTCAATGAGGGAGAGGAAGACCCTCAACCAGTTGGATTGACACAGTGACTACCACAATGGGCTCTGGTGTGTCAGGAAGTGTGAGGATGGCACAGGATAGGAAGGGTTCAGATCCCCTGTTCATAGCGTCATTATGAGTTGCATTTGACTCGATGGCACCTAACAACAACAACAACAACAACAACAACAACAACAACAACAACATTTTTCTACAAATAATTGTGTAACTCCTGAATGAATATGTTATACACATTCTATTATCTAGGTATAAGTCTTTCCAGCATACTGGACACTATGAGAGGCATTGTAGCTATCAAGAACAATTAGAGATATTTTAATAATAGTCATCAACTCATGAAACAAGTTTTTATTTAAAAGAAAGAAAAAGCAAAACCAGAGCTGCTTCATAGGGTTTTCAAGGCTGTGGCCTTTCAGAAACAGATTAGTAGCCTTGTTCCTGTAGTGACTTTGGATTGAATAGAAGTACCAATCTTTGGGTTAGCCACCAAGAGTTTAGGTACTTTAAGCAGCTCTCGTGACCTAGTGGTAAAAAGTAGTACTGCAATCCCAAAGGCAAATAGTTCTCATCTACCTGCAGCTCTGCAAGAGAAGGATGTGCAATCTCCTCCTGTTGATTTACTGCCTCTGAAAATCCACTAAAGAGTCAGCTAATAGTTTCAACTCTACAGCACACAACTACACCAACGGATACTTTATATGTGGACCAGAGGGTGAATAGGTAAACATACAATATTGTTTCTTTTGGGTGGATATGAGTACTTAGTGAAGTAATTTTCTCCAGGCTAAAAGGTAGAGTTAATGATAACTCAGAATTTACTGATTCAGTGAGATTTATTAAATGCACTGGCACCAAATTTTTTTATTACTCATACCCTTTATTTCTTTTAAACTTATTTACATTATGTTGTATATACACATGGACTAATTTCAAGTTAAACTTTAGAGGGATAATACACACAGGTCTTCAGGTAATGGAGAACTAATGAGATTAGCTCAGGTTGAATAAGTGGCCCCATCATTGTACAGCAGCCTGACTCAAACATGGACTAGGAATATCACCGAGATTCATACCTGTGAACCTGGTCAGGACATGGCCCGCTTTTAGGATAATCAAGTTGATTTTTATCCTGGGACATTGTCAATTTTTCAGCTGCAGCAATTGGACAACCAGAAAGACTATTTAGAAAAAAAATACGAGGTAAGTTAAAAAAATAATGGAATTTGCCTTCGAATAAACCTCACAGGACATTAGCACATGCTAAATGTAGGTAATATTTATAGTTCAATTATCATCAGCATCACATTAAAAAGCCCCCAATAGTTTTGTAAACTACATTATCAACTTTTTTCCTTAACTTCATCACCAAAGTGAAAGATGAAAAAATTATTTTTAAAGTAATGTATTAGGCAAGACAGAAATGACAATTGTACAGAAACATCTTAATATGTTAAGTGAAATGTGCTCACTTAAACTACCATGTTTCCAACTACAGAAGACAGTGTGGTAACTCATCACTCATCAGAAGATTTTTGTAAAATTCTATTTCTTAAATTATATTACTTGTAGGATATGAGATAATCTGGTAATATGCTTATTTAGCATACTGGTACCTAATGGCCACGGAATTGATAGATAATATAAAATATACACATATACAGCTTCTTATATAAATACAGCTCAATGAAATTATGTTTGTGTTAGCCAAAACCATCATAGGCTGAAACTCTTTTGGTGCCTTCTAAATATTTGTTGGATACAAACCAAGATCCAACTTAAGTAACTTTTTCGTTAGTAAGACAACTGTGGTGGGGTCTCAGAGCAAAAGAGAACATTTCTTACTTATACATAAAATGTAATTTCAGAAATGCCAAGAGAAATTTTCAGAGAAGGATTCGTTTCATTGGCTGCTAATATAAACCTTTATTGTAAAATATGAGGTATGCCTTTCTTTTTAGAATCTGCACACAATGAGAATGGTTGGTGTGGTATTTGTTAGTTCATTGTTTTGTTGGAGGAAAGTTTCTACCCATTATTTTAACTGTCATATAAAATGAGGAGCTGGATCACCTTCGGTGTGTGTTACGATTGCTGTTCACGTGGCCCCGTCCTGTGCAGCCTGGGGTGGGACATTTGAGCACGTTTTCATGCATGGCAAGAACTGAGTACAAAACAGGACATAAAAGAAAAGGATAATTGACCATAAATAACATAACACACTAGTAAAGTTATTTCTCAGTTTTGCATTCAAATTAATTTTGTTATGTAATCCACCATGTCCCCTTCCCAGAATAAAACAAATGAGCATTCTTCAAAAGCTAAATTCAGCAAATTTTCAAATTTTAATTTCCCTAAACTTTGTGTATGGTTAACACTAAACTTTTTTTAGAAAGTCCATTTCTCTCATATTTTTTTAAAAACTGAGATGCTTATAACACTCCTTTTCCACCTATTTGCTTTTTTCCTGGGGTAGGGTCGAGAATAGTATTTGTCAAATACATATATATTTTTTGCCAAATACATACACATGTATATTTCAAATATACATATGTTGATAGAAATTCTTTTAATAAATGAAGAATATAGTCTTTATTTGTGAAGTGTTGAATATTGTTTTTGATTCTTTGACCATTCTCCACACACTCCCCCGCCAACCCCCCAAAAATCGTCCCTTTCCTCTTGCATTTTATGAGCAAGAACATGGTTGAGACTGGGCACCATCTGTCCTGGGGGATAGTGCCCTGCTCACTGGATACATTTGCAAAATCTAGCTTTTAAGAAGGTGATGTTGAGAAGTTCTCATTTTTGCAGTTTGCATAAGCCAACAGGCGTCTCCATAATAAATTCAGAGGTAGAGAAAGCAGAGAAGGGGCCACATTAATGTGTGGAACCTTCAGAGGGAGTGGTTGCGCCTTCCATCTCCAGTTTGGGTTTCCAGCTCACAGTAGGGCTGTTGCTGGAGAGACCACAGCGGAGCCTGGGTCAGGCCCTGGCTTGGTAGGGCAGCTGCGATGGCATTATGAAGTGCCTGTGTCCCAGACAGGTATGACTGAGGGCGGTCTGATGCTGCTGCGCTGGTACAATTGATGCTACAATTAATGGGGGTGGGAGGGGTAGGTTTGATATTGAGGGGAGAGGAGACCCCTCCTCTGCTCAACCCGGGGGCTCTGGACCTGAGGTGCTGCGTGGGCGCACGGCTGTACCCAAATTGTCCTCAAGACACTGAGAGAAAACTTTCATTTCCATGACTAAGATGGCGTTATTCTGATGCATCACATGCCGTCAGAGCCTAACTCTTTGGGACTAGAAGATACTTACTCTCTAGGGGAACCCGAACTTTGTGGGGGCAGCCTGAGAGACTGCGGTGGTGCGGGTAGAGCCCGGTCACGTGGCCTGTGCCATCGCATCCTGGGATGGGGCACTTGGTCTCCCTCTTGTCAGGCCTTGGAGAGTCTGCAGAGAGATTAGATGGAGAGATCCAGTTAGTTATTTTCTTTCTCACTCTGCCTCAATCTCCTGGCCTTGCAGACCTGACACCCTTGCTCTGTTCAGTTCTGGCATCACAAGCATTCTCACATTGTCTTGAATAAGACCCTCAACTAAGACCTATGGAAATAAAAACATGTTTAATTTTTTTCGTTTTCTAATGGCACAAGTCAAGGGAGTGCTAAAATGCAGAGATGGTTTTAAATTGTCACAACACAGAGTTAGCGGGCCTCATTAGACAAGCTGACCCTACCCAAAGGCTTCCCAACCCTCCTACAAAAAAGAAATACAATGAATGAGAAGAAAGAAGCTATTCAAGTCCAAACCACCCTCTACTAAAAGAGTACCAAACAAGCCCAGGAGGGGCGATGGGCAGCCTGCCTCAGGGACCCAGGGTGGCTATGGCTCTTAGTACCCAATGACTGTAGCTCTGCCGAGCAGCATGCTCAAGAGTTCATGCCAATAATGTCCCCACATCTTCTGTCATCTCACAGCTTCCTTTTCCACAAGCATTCTGAAGTAGAGTGCCTGGAGGGATGCGTACCCAGGGACTTGGAGCAAGACACTGAGGGAAATGCCCCTTCTGAAGGTTCAAAGACACTAGAATACCTGAGATGGAAATATATGTGACTTTGAAGAAGGAGCAAGACCTGCAGGACAGATAAAGGCAGAGGGAGATGAGGGGATTACAATAGCAACCTCACAGGAAAAAGAGATGCCTTCCTTCAACTGGGGTTTTCCTGTGGTCACAGGAAGGCCCTAAGGGGCCAGAACTGGAGTCCTGCCTGGGAACTCACTTCCTGGAATGGAATGTTAGCTAGGAGATAGAGAAAGGCTCAGAGAAAGAAGGGAGCCAACCATGTTGCTGATCATTAGAGATATAGATGAGGCCCTATCCGACACAGAGGAGATTTTCAGGGTAGTTTTCATATTTGTGATTGAATGGTTGATGTCTTTTTAAGAAGCATTGTTAGTTACAGCTACACTTGTCTCCACACTTCCTGTCTGGTCCAGCACCTCAAGCAACAAAGAAGATCTGTCCCTCAGCTTTTGCTCTGACTCCAACCAATTTGAGACATGTAAACAGGAAGAGTGAGTACACTTGAAGCTGCAAGTGAAAAGAAATAATGTGTGCAAACTTCTTTCCCAGAAGCAGCTGGAGGAGAAATGAAGGCAAATGTCTGTATTGGGTGCAAAGGGTCCATCTGATACCCTTAGCAGCACTTTGCAGGGAGAAGGCCCACACTGCGATGTTTGGCAGGCATTTTTGGACTGTGAGCTTCCAGGAGTGATGGGACTCAGTGACATCAGAATGCCCAGGTGTTGGATTATGAATTGTCCTTGACAGATGAGGTACAGTAAATTATATGTAATACAAGAATATGGGGCATAATTTCAGCAGAGGGGCAAAGAGTCAGAAACTGTGTGTGTTTAAGAAACCCCAGACTAGAGGAGAGGCAGCGATAAAATAAGACTTTGTATATATTAATTTGATGGGGGTGGGAGCTGAAGGAAATGGGAAAGACCTAGTGTGAAAAATAATGTATTCAAACTTTGTAACTAAATGAGTATAAAATAATAATAATAATAATAATAATGTTGTTGTTGTTGTTGTTATGTGCCATTGAGTCGTTTGCGACTCATAGCGATCCTAAGTACAAGAGCCCTAAACGCCATTCTATCCCGTGCCAATCTCACTGTCTCAAACACATTAATTCCCACCACTCCACTCACAGAATCGATTCATCTCATCGAGGGTCTTCCTCTCCTGCACCGTCCCTCCACTCTTCCAAACGTGATGTCCCTCTCCAAGGACCAGTCCCTCCTTGGAACATGCCGAAAGTATGTCAGACGAAGCTTCAGAATCCTGGACTCCAGGGAACATTCTGGCTTCACCCTCTCCAGGACAAACCTGTTTGTTCTCCTAGCAGTTCATGGTATATTCAACACTCTTCTCCAGCACCACAACTCAAAGGCATCAATTCTTTTTCTAGCATCCCTATTCACTGTCCAACTCTCCGTGCAAAGACTATAGCCTGGATCAGGCTCACCTTAGTCTCCAGCCTGACGTCGTTGCACTTTAGTACTCTTGAGAGGTCCCTCGCAGCTGACTTTTCCAATGCAATTCGTCTCCTGATTTTCTGGCTGCTGTTACCAAGAGTGTTGACTATGGAGCCAAGCGAACTAAAACTGTTAACTATCTCATTCTCTTCACCATCCATACTGATGCTGCCAATTGGCCCAGTGGTGAGAATCTTTGTTTTCTTGTTATTGAGCTTCAATCCATATTGAAGACTGCAGTCCTTGACCTTCTGCAGCAAGCAAATCATGTCATGTGCCTTTACAATGACAGCGCAACTACTTACCACTAAGTCACCAGAGCTCATGTAGACAGTATAGTCCCAGGAATAGATGATATACCAATTGAAGTATTTCAGATAATAGATGTTGCCCTGGATGTGCTCACCAAGTTGTGCCAAGAAATCTGGAGAACAACCACTTGGCCAATTGACAGGAAGAGATCTATATTTGTTCCCATTCCAAAGAAAGGTGACCCAACTGCGTGTGGAAACTACAGAACAGTGTCATTGATTTCACATGCAAGCAAGATTCTACTGAAGATCATCCAAAAACGATTAGAACAGCACATCAGTAGAGAACTGCCGGAAGTCCAGGCTGGGTTTAGAAGGGGTCGTGGTACTAGGGATATTGTTGCTGATATTAGATGGATCTTGGCTGAAAGCAGAGAATACCAGAAGAATGTCTATCTGTGTTTCATTGATTATGCAAAGGCATTTGACTGTGGATCATAACAAACTGTGGCTGACTCTGAGAAGAATGGGAATCCCAGAACATTTAATTGTGCTAATACGAAACCTATACTTGGACCAAGAGGCAGAAGTCAGAACAGAGCAGGGTAACACTGCATGGTTCAAAATTGGGAAGGGTGTACGCCAGGGATGCATCCTGTCTCCATACCTTTTCAACATGTATGCAGGGCAGATTATCCGAGAGGCTGGGCTCTATGAGGAGAATTGTGGCATCAGGATTGGTGGAAGATCTATTGACAATCTCTGTTATGCAGATGACACAACCCTGCTTGCTGAAACTGAGGAGGACCTCATGCACTTGCTGCGAAGGGTCAAGGACTGCAGCCTTCAGTATGGACTAAGGCTCAATGTCAAGAAGACAAAGATTCTCACCACTGGACCAATTAGCAGGGTCAGGATGGATGACGAAGAGATTGAGAGTGTTCACAACTTCAGTTTGCTCGGCTCCACAGTCAACACTCTTGGTACCAGCAGTCAGGAAATAAAAAAGCGTATCGCGATGGGAAAGTCTGCTGTTAGGGACCTCTCAAAGGTACTCAGGAGCAACAGTGTCTCTCTGGAGACTAAGGTGCGCCTGATACAGGTCATGGTATTTGCAATCGCTTGTTATGCATCAGAGAGTTGGACAATGACTAGGGAGGACAGAAGGAGAGTGGATGCTTTTGAGCTGTGGTGCTGGAGAAAGGTACTGAATGTACCATGGACTGCCAGGAAAACAAACAGATTCATCTTGGAGAGGATTAAACCAAGCTACTCCTTGGAGGCAAGGATTCTGGGGCTTCGTCTGACATACTTTGGACATGTGGCCAGGAGGGACGGGTCCTTGGAGAGGGACATCATGCTTGGGAGGGTGGAGGGACAGCGCAGGAGGGGAAGACCCTCTATGAGATGGATTGATTCGGTGACTGGGGTAATCGGGATGGGTGTGTCAGAGGCAGTGCGGTTGGCGCAGGATAGAGCAGGGTTTAGGGCTGTTGTGCATAGGGTCGCTATGAGTCGGAAACGACTCGACGGCACATAACAACAACAACAACAACAACAACAAATTCTGTCTTTCTCAAAAATGAATGAGGGCTATTCTTTGTGGCTATTTTTGCAGGAACACAAATAGCCCTCATTCATTTTTGAGAAAGACAGAATTTAGATATGACAATTTCTGACTATACTGTCTACACGAGCTCTGGTGACTTAGTGGTAAGTAGTTGTGCTGCCATTGCAAAGGCACATGATTTGGAGCTTTGGTAGTCTGGTGGTAAAGAGCTTCACCACAATCCCAAAGGCATGTGGTTCAAATCCACCTGCTTATCTGTGGGAGAAGGATGTGCAATCGCTTCTTGTGTGATTTGCTGCATCTGAAAAGAGTCTAGAGGGTCATCTATGGATAGGTTCTGATTCAATGGCATATAACACCAAACAACAGCTGCTCCACAAGAGAAAGATAAGCAATCTCCTCCCATGCAATTTCCTGCCTCTGAAAACTCCCTGGGGAGTCAGCTTTGAGTCTGTTCTGACATACAACAATACCAGCAATGCACTTTTGGTATTTTCTAAGAGACTGAGAGGCAAATTAAGAGTCTGAATAGAATTTTGTAGATGCATATTTCATACAATCCACAAATGTTGCCAAATTTACATTTGATTTGGTTATTTGGTGACTATTAACTACTAGTAAAAATCTTTAATGCCAGACTAACTGTGAATTTAGGAGGGGTGACAGCATGTGAGAGTGTATTTGAGAAAACGAGAGAAGCAACAATATATATTTTGATGCCCTTCTTCTCTTGGGCTGTGTCCAAGCTAGACCACATTTCTAAACCCCATTGAAATGTTTGGCGTGGAGTGGTTCCCTCCTTGCCACACTGTCTGCAGGAAGCCAGAGAGAGGGTTGGAGATAAGGCAGGGCTGGCACCTGACCAGGTGTGGCCCACTGACAGTCCATCATGCACCTTTGTCTGCAAATCTTTTCTCTGTTGGATGAAACAAAGATGCTGATGAAACGCTTTATAGGGCAGAACCTGTTTGCATGATAAGAAGACAGAGCTGGAGCTCTGGGTAACTCTCAGGCCTGGCTCCTCCCTTGTATGTGTGGTGGTTTTTTTTTTTTAATCCTTAGCACAATGCTGCATAATGAGGGTGTTCTTAGAGCTGGACCCTAACATCATGGTTTGTGTGGGACAGTCCTGTTTACACCTGCTAGACTCACATAATTATTATTATCAGTCTATTCACTCTGAAAGTGTCCTAGGCGGGACAAATCATGATAACTCTACTTGTATTGTGAGTGAGAGTCTCACTGAATGATCAGCGGTGACAATATAATGAAATTTGTTTTACTATTGTCCAACCCATCTGAAAGCTAGGGTAAAACCATTTTGCTTAATTCTGGTGTTTTCTCCTTAGCAGTGTAGTCACTTGACCGAGGTGAATGGGAAGTTGAGAAGGTTTGGTGAGTATTGTAATCAGCTGTGATGCATGTTGACTTATAACCCATGTTGTGCACATCAGAGAAAGCAGTGTCCTGGTACCACTGACCTCACAGCTAGAGAAGAATGTAGATTTGAAGTCTTCTGTCATTTAATAGACTGAGATTCTGATTTCTCAGCACCCTGGGGAATATCTCATTGTTGTGTGTTGTCACTGATCCTCCAGCCAGTTTTCAGAGGCAGTAAATATGGTGGGGAGGAGATTACCCATTCTTCTATCATGGGGTAACATCTCATCAGACTCTATTTTAGATTCTCTGCATCTCTTGAAATAAACTTTTAACACAGTAGTGTTGCCTTTTTTTCTGACCCATAGGTTAGAACTTGCCCTAAGCAATAAGATGCAGTTTTAATTTTTCTAGGTCCATGAATCAAATGTGACCCAAAGTATACAAATACCTATTGCCTTAGGGGGTTTTTTTGGTGGTTGTTTTTAAACAACAAAAAATAGGTGTGCAAAGTCATAAAAATGAGCGAAGGACCATCAAATATTTTAAGCGGTGGAGCATATAATTAAGGTTTCTCCAAATGCCATACTGTAGGATGCCATCAATTTTAAGATAAAGCATCATTTTGTGTGCTATGAAGAAAGAAGTAGTTACTAAAAATTAACCTATGACACAAGTCACTGATTTCAGGGATATTAATGTTGGAAAACGAAATCTCCTAATCAATGAAATAGAGCATAATAGAAATGATGAGTCTTGGGAACGGAGTAAATTTTGTATCCTTTTCTGATTTCATAGCTCATTAAATACACACACACACACACACACACACACACACACACACACACACAGAACAAATTTAAGTTGCATAATAGTGTACATATCCCGAACTAAGTCATGGTTTCCTGCCCCAACCCTTACATGTTGCTAATAAACTGCCCTGCCCCGATTCTTGCAGTGTATCTGCACAGCATTAGGATTTTGCTCTGCACTATGACACTAAAGGGAGGTCTGGAGTCATAGGTTGTGTCCCTAGAGAGTTGAACTGACTATCTAAAAATAGTACCTCTTTAGTGGTTCAAATCCACCAGGTGCTCTGTAGAAAAGATGGGCAATCTCCTTCCATGTGTTTTTAGCCTTGGAAACCCATTGGAAGATCAGCTGTGAGTCGGTTCTGACTCAACAGCAGTGTGTGAGTGAGTAATATGATATTGACATTGTCCTGACAGTCCTGTGGTTAAGTGTTTGCCTACAAACCAAAGGGTTTAAGGCCTGTTTCATGGGAGAAAGACATGACTGTCTACTTATCTAGTGATTACAGGCTTGAGAACCCTATGGGGGAAGTTCTACCCCATGCTACAGGGTTATTATAAATCAGACATGACAGCAATGGATTGTTCAATGGGATATGGCATTGTTTTATTACATGTTGCCTCAGATCTGAGCTGCAACAGAAATATTTGAAGAGATGGCATATGAGTGCTAATATGAAATTAAAATGGCAAAATAGGAGGCTTATTTCTGGAGCAATCTCAGCAACCAAGAATTGGTAGGTCATATTACCATATTTTCATAGAAGTCTCTTTAGTCAGTAAGTAACCTTGACTTTATCATATATAACCTTTTCCTGTATCTGTGGTTCTCAGACTTGAATTGCCTGAAGAACCTGCCAACAAAATGCAGATACTTGTTACATATCCTTGGAGTTCTTTTTTTTTTTTTTTTATCCTTGGAGTTCTTGAACAGTAAGTATGATTAGATACTGGAAGGATTTAAACAAGCTTTCCCTGTGTGAAGGAGTCCCCTGGGCTGTGCATTTGAATGATAATCAGAAGGTTAGTTAAACAAATGCTCCTAGCAGTAACTTTGAAAGAAGTCCTGATGACCTACTTCCAAAAAAAATGAGCCATTGAGAATTCTATAGACCAAGTTCTCTGACCCATATGGCATCACTCACTATGTGTCAGAAATGTCTCTATAGCAACTGATGACCATGATGGTGGTGCTCTGTGTACTGATTGACCACCATTTAAGAAACTGTCTAACTGTTAGAATCATGATTAAGCCCCACTGATGCAAAGACCCAAAAGAGAGATTGAGACAGAGATGGGGAGAGAGAGAAAGAAAGATCTTTATGGAAGCAGGGAGCACAATTGGCCTAAAGTTTAGGAATGACTTACAATTCTCCTCAAAACATATTGACTGTTAGCATACAAGTTTGACACATTTGTGACTCACTAACATCTAGTGTGAGTCTCAAAAAGGATCAGAACAATCTCTCTGGTATGTGAGTGGTTTGTCATTATTTTGAAGCAAAAAAGCAATCATATGTTCCCAGAATGAGTGAGGAAGAGAATTAGACATTTATGGAATTGCTTTGGTTAGTAAAATTATTTAAAATCCAGTAAGTACTAATGTACTTTGAAGAATGTTTGACAAACTACTTCTTAATGCTCCTTGCTGATAATCAATAGGTTAAAAGTTCTAGTCTATCCAGAAATCCCGGAAAAGGAAGGCAAAAAGTCCACTCCATGCTGACTGGCAGTGGTCAGATAAAGGATAAGAAGTAGAACCAAGGAGTTCTCATTTTGCTAGTGATAACACTAAAAAGAAAAACACAAACCTGACTTCTTTTGATAAGTTCAATCTAGAGAGTAAAAATAAAAAGTAAAACCATTTATTCTAGATAAATGAATTTTAAAAGAACTTTGACAAAATTATCTTATACGAATAGCCAAATTCAGCTCATTTCCTTTTTTCTTAGACCCTACATCGATACTCACACTACAATAACAGTAATAAAGATGAGCCTTACGTTTGCTGTTGAAGATTGGTCTTGCCCCCAGGTCTGCGGCTTTGGCTTGCCTGTGGTCCACTGCCAGGTGCTCCAGCAGAAACCGGTCCAGGTCTTTGTAAGCCGCATAGCACGCACGGCCTCGCTCCGCCTGAAGCGCAATGGCTTGCTCCAGCAAACTTAAATTGCCCTTGGCTTTCTCAGAGTCTCCAGACTCTGGGGTCAAGGTAGGCAGGCTCTCCTGATCAGCATCCTGGCGCTTGGGGAAGGCAGACTGGGCTTGGCAGTCCAGGATATCCACAGGAACCTTCGGAAGCTCTCTCCTTGCGGCTTCATTGCCACACATTTTATCGCAAGGGATAAAGTTTTCACCCTCTGTTTTTATTTCTGGAACTTCCAGTGGGTCTTTTTCATCGCCCACTAAAATATACTTGGAAACTTTGGGTGGTTTGATTTCCTCTGAGAAACTGGAGCCACTATCCCAACCAGTCTCTGCGCTCTCCGAGTTACTTTCGCTGTCATCAGAGGAACAGTACAGGAGCTGGGCGTCCCTGCCTTTCCCATCATCCGATGGAAACAGAAAGCAGTCCTGGACTTCCTCACCCTCTGTTTTCAGAGACTGGATGCGACTGTCGTTTAGGTTTGCCCTCCCAGTGTGTACAGAAGCTTCATGTTCTAGTTTCCCCAAGTGCATTAAAGATTTGACCACCAGGTCTTTATAACTAGCATATCTGTCTTCCTTTCTTTTGGAGTTTTCTTGTGCAGTTGAATAAAGAGTGTCATCCATAGGTTTTATCATCACTTCCTCTATGGAAAAAAAATAAAAAAGAATCATTATTTAAAGAAGAGTAGAAGTGTAAAAATTATTTTAAGAAAGTAGCAACACAACTCCCTCTCTCTCTCTCTTTCTCATACACACAGTCCTTTACCAAATTTAAAATAATAAGGAATAAAACACTTATCTTCTTAAACACAGGAATTCTTAGGCTGTAAACTTTCTGGAAGCATATGGCCAGGTTTTCCTCCTATAGAATGGCTAGGTGAGTTCCAACTGCTATCACTCGTTAATAGGTAGGGATCCCTGATAGATCTTAGAATGTAATATTCCGAGGATTGCCTTCAAGGAAATGATCTATTCAAATATTCACTGCAATATGAGCTAAATGATACTGGGGTACTACCAAGAGGTAGAGCTTTAATAACAATAGTGTTGAATGTAACATTACTGGACATCTAATATTGCCAAATCTTAACCAACCATACAGAAATGAAATACACAACATTAAAACTTATCAAGAATATAGTAATCAGGTTTCTCTGGTGGCATAACAGTGTGTTTTAGAAGTTTATTTGGTTTTTGCTTCCTAGCATTCCTATAGTTTCTAAAAAATATTTTTCAGATTGTTATAGAATGTTAGCTAAAATACCAAATAAATCTACTTTGGGATCATTAAGGAAAGGATTCTGAAGTTTTCAAGACTTTTCGCTCTTTCCATGCCTAGGGAAATGCGGTTAAATGGAAAGATTGTTATTGTTGTTGTTGTTATGTGTTGTCGAGTTGCTTGTGACTCATAAAGACCCTGTGTACAACAGCCCTGAAAACTGCTTTATCTTGTGGCAACTTTATTGTCTCCAACACACCTACCCTCATTACTCCAGTTACTGTACCAAGCCATCTCATCGATGGTCTCCTCTTTCACCATATTAGCAGGATCAAATAATATATTTAAAAACAGTCTTGTGGTCTGGTCTTTACATGCATTTATGTAAAAAGAGAAGTGTAATAACAGATAGAGATGGTTAAAAGCTACTGAACATTAACTAGTTGCACTTGGTACAGGGCCAAATAATAAATAGGGTTATGAATGTCAAGAAAAGTGACTCCAGTGTGGCTGGGGATCTTGTGGTGGTATTATAATCTGCTCTTTCATACCCACAAATGCTTCAGCTTGGATTGTCACTCCAGACATGCAATTTGGCATGCAAGAGGGCAGCTAGCCGGGGAGCAGAGACTGAGAGCAATGAGGAAGCATGGCACAGAGCACACCCCAAGCTTGAAATGCTCCAGCCATCTGCAACTGTGCTGACATACACTAGGGGAAAAGGGAGGGGGGAATACAGGACTATTTCTGAGGGTCAAAAGACCTGATGGAGGATGGGAAGTAGAAAATAAGCCCATCAAAGACTGTTAAAGACACCAAGTGAAGAGCATTCTGTGCTAATCAACATTTTCAGGGGAGGAAAGCGCAGCCATTGGTGGCAAGGGCCAGAGGAGCTGTTGTCTGTTCCCAAGACAATGTGCCTCTTTTTGTCTCATTTAATTTTTGCAAACATTGTTTCTGACAAGGACACTCAAAAATGCATCTCCATCATCTTCCTTTCTGGTAATTATCTCCCTAACTCAACACTGGACTGCCAGGATCAAGTAAATATTGCCATAGTAACTAAAAGCATTTTTGGATGAAGGGAAGAATTTAGTCACAACACTAGTCCCTTTAAATAATGCTGATTATAGGGTGCAGCCTTTTGTTGGAATCTATTCTAAACAAACTGAAAATTTTAACATTTTACTTCCTAGAAAAAAGGCAGAGTAAACAAGCACATAGTATCTGACAGGATGGTCTATCCTCCCCTGAATTCATATCAGAGCAACTCCAGGTTTAAATAATAAATTAAACATAGTCTAAAATGCAAATGGAGTTTTTCTCAATATCACAGTTGGCTATTAAGAGAAAGTGTAAAGGGTTATGATAATTTTAAAGTATTATGAACTACAGAAAACAAATAAAAAGCATTTTCAGTGAATATGCTCAATTCATTGAACTCTTCTCTCACTCCACTTAACTACCCACGTGTGTACAATAATGATTTATAGACATTATACCTAATTATGCATATTTAGGCTGTGTAAGAGTGCTAACAAAAGCTCTAGAAAGCAACAATTACCTCTGTTGCTTAGCTACATAGTTTAAAATATTCCTATTAAGTGCAGATCACCAGAGAGGGGGGAGTGACACACGCACATGTGCACCACAATGCATCGCCCTGCGCTGCTGCCAAACTGCCTGCATTTGGGTCACTTCCAGTTTGCATAATTGTGTGGTTCAACTGTTTGCTACATGCTAAAAGAAAATATTTATTAATTATTCTTTGGAAAAAGAGGAGCACTGCCACCAGAGGTGCCTGCCTGCATCGTTCTGTGGCTTCTAGAGGTGTTCTCAAGGCCTGACTCCCCTGTCCATTGAACCCCTTACCAGCAGCTTCTCTGTGTCAAGGAAGTTAAAGGTGTGTTTGCTTTTGAACCCACAAGTCGCTAGCAAGAAGTGTGTTTCTCTCAGTTCAATACTGGGTGTAAAATATGTATATTACATATTCTATGTAATAGTGGAATGTTACATGGTGTCTCATCTTTTTGCATTTGCTAGTACAAAAAAAGGTGACCAGAGTTTAAGTTGCACTCACAATGCCAGTTCACAAATCCTTAAACCATCTTAGTCTGAGTTCCTCACTCACAGTAAGGCAATATTTCACAGCAGTAATCTGTGTAGCTCAAACTAGAGCGCATGTAAGGGAGATGACATCTAACACATATTAGTAATTGATGGGGATTTTCTGTCTCTTTTCCTAAGATAAAATTTTAGAAGGTATCAGTGGAGACATCAATTTTACCAGAGGACTTGCTCTATAAGTATAAGTACTATAAGTACTTAGAACTGAATGTATCCACTTAGTTAATTTTAAACTTCTGTGATAATCAAGCTTTGTGGTAGAAGTTGGGAATTAATGAGGACAACCCTAGTTTCAAGGCACTGAAAAAATATGTTGACACAAGAGTAGGTTCATTTTCTTAAAAAAAAATGAGACTAATCACCTAGATGCATTATGAGAGAACACCAGTGGCCTAGTGGGTAAAGAGCTGCACTGTCAACACAAAAGGTAGGTGGTTCAAATCCACCAGGTGCTCTGTGGGAGTAAAATAGATAATCTCCTCCTGTACAATTTACTGCCTCTGAAAACCCACTACAGGGTCAGCTATGGGTCTATTCCAACTCAACAGTACCCAACATCAACAAATTCAATGTCCTCCCTACCATTAAAGTCAACCTACAATTTTCATGAATCAAGAAATGAAATTAATCAGCTTCAAGGAAACTCTAGAAGCTAAGGATGAACCACGAGTCTTAATGATAGAGAAGAAACATGTAGAAAATGCAACCTTCTCAAACCAAAATACCACTTTGTTTTAACTTACAGCTTCAAGCTCCTCCCAAACCTTGGTTGTTGAAGATAATATGACTATGAGATAAACTCAATGCCCTGTCAGTTAATATAATTTTGCATAGTTTTTATTAATAGTTATTATAATTCTATCTGCATTAAATATTTATGATCCAGTAATCTAGTTACATTTTGTTTCTATGATACATACTTCTTTTCAGTTGACAATTTAGTATATATTTTGATTCCTTAGAATGAGTCTTATTCAGAATTTATAAATTTTATAGAGTATTCCCTCACCTAATTTTATAGACATGTCAATATTTAGATTTTAATGTACTTATATGTGTCACAAAAAATTTATCTTTCTGTTTCAGCCTCTACAAACGGACCAACGATATTCTGAGACAAGGTGGCTACCAAAAAACTAATGGACTTGCATGCAAATGAGGGGGGAACAGATCCTAATTCTTTCAAAATGGTAATTAAATAGCTAGCCTTCAAGCAGTACCCAGTAAATTAATAAATAAATGAATTCGTAAAACAAAATATGTATTGAAATGTATTTGTTTTAGAAATAACAGGTATTTGAACAGATTTTCTAGAAGATATTATTTTCCTATTGTAGAGTTTATAATTTGTGGTCTCATCTATTGCATAAATATTTATTAAACTATTTTTATTTATATATTTCATAAAAATATATACAGATTATAATCCCTTTGCCTTATGGTCTATATTGCACTGTTTGTGGAACTGACTAAATATATTTGAGAAACAAATAAAAATATGGCTTTTAGCAATCACATTATATATGGCACAATATTTTAAAAGAGATCTAAGATCTTAAACCTACCTCTTGACCTAGAAGGATTCCCTCAGGATTCATCATCTATCCTATTACAGACACAAGTTAATGTTCAACTTTATGGCTTATCTTTTGTTTTATTTAAAGGAAGTCATACCTCAACCTGTGTTTTTGGAAATGTACTGGGGTCAAGCACTCGAAGTTTTTGTTTTTGAACCCTGAATAGTAGTTGATTATAAAAACGAGCCTTCAATAAGTACACATTGAGTGAAATATAAAATTAATTTTACTTTCAAATTGGAATATTCTTTCAGTATTATGTAATGCTTTACTTAAGTTTAGACATGTCTCCGGTGCTGGGGATAGTGCAGATCTCTCTTATTTGCTACCTGCAGTGGAATGATCATCTGTTTGCAAGATGTGATTGTCCTCCTCAGCGTCAGTCCTGTCCTCAGTCTCTTCTTTGCAAGCCATGTTGGGGCTGTAATGACGAGGTTTCATTAGCAGTGATTTCCTTTTGTTGACTGGAACACCCAGAGTCTGCTCCTCACCTCTCCTCTTTCTTCCCATAGAGTAATCATATGCAGCACTGTCATGATGGAGGCAAATGAAAACAGGATAAAACAGTGGTCACTGCTGTTTCTCATCTGACTTTCAAGAAGTATAATCCAAAGCCTGTGGAAATTGAAACTGTTTTCATGGAATTTGGGCCTAGTGGGTAATGTTAGTTGTTGGCATGAGCAAAAACAGTCCATCAATGAAAGACACTGAACTGTTAGTATTTTCTCTTATGTTCTATCATAAGAGTCGTTTTTTCTTTTTTAAATCATCTTTAATCCCAAATAAGCATATGTTAATCTGTGCTTTGCTTGGCACCACACTAAATACCCAGGAAGGGATGAAACAAGATTTATGTTTGTTTGCTAATCCTAAGAAACAGCTAATGTGAAAAATATATGCCATGAGAAACAAACAATTAAAAAATGCCCATTATGAATAAATCACAGGACTTTTTCAAATAGTTATTTGCTACAGAACCTGCTTATCTCTGCCACAGTCGTACATCAAACTTGAAATGGCCACATACACCAGGTTTTGACTTGAAAGAATTGGGCATAGAGAGTAGGGACAGTTATGAGCATCCAGTCAACAGATTGCCAGCCACGAGAGAAAAAGCAAAAGATGCAACATGACAGACTGCCTATTGATTCTAACCCACCTGGCACATAGAACAAACAAATAAAAGGAAGAGAAATAAGATAGGGTTACACAACAGTGAACAACGTTCTATCTTTATTCCTATTCTCATGTAATTTTACTGAAAAACACTCCTGATGCTGATGCAAAATCTGATTACAGAATCAAGAGTTGCTACACATAACCCACTCAGGACTTATACAGGTCACAATATATACTGAAGAGAAGATGAGTATTCTTTTGTCAGGACCCATAAAAACTGGAAGATTTAGCTAATAGAGAATCTATGAAGGATTTATTGATATAGTTGAATAAAAAATGCATAAGTGGTATAAAGAAAAATCCTAGACTTGTAATAGCAAACTATGATTTGCTATATTTGAATATTGAGTAATATTAATAGATAAATACTTATATACTAAATATAATTGGATACAGAATAATATTAATAAATAAAAGACATCAAATTATTTCCTTGGAACTGCTGATGCAAAGATAGTTACCTATTCAAAAGAACCATTTGGTTATAGTCAAACATACATTCTTGAGATTTTTATTGTATTAGGTATAAGTGAGTTGATTTTTGTCTCTTAGCAAATCCAAGTGACAGTAGACATGCCCTGTAGGGTTTTCTTGGCTAAAATCCTTAGAAAGTAGATCTCCAGATCTTTTGCTCATGGAGCCACTGGGTGAGTCCCAGCTGCCAACCTTTTGGATAGCTGTCACACATTCAACCATTGTCCTACCACTCTACTTATTCTTGATTTCAGAAGAGTTTCCCCGCCCCCCCCAAAAAAAACTTCAGAAGAAGAAAAGCCTTACTTATTCCAGGAAAACAAAACAAAACAAAACAAAACAAAAACCCTCAACATCAAAACAAACAAACTTTATAGAATGTGAAACGATTCAAGAGGATTGAAATTTCTTAGAAGCAAAAAGTTGGACAAATAGGAGAGGTAAAGGAAATGGGAAATATGTGGCAAGGACCCGAAAAAATTTGGTAATGGTGGACATAGTTCAATGGTCATTATAAGATGCAATGTATGGGAATGATTGTACGAAACACAATATATACGAATTTCATACGAAAATCAATATAAAATAAAAATAAATTGTAAAAATTGGGCAAATAAAATTATCCTCAAAACTTAGAGACAATAGAAGAATCCGTTCTAGCTAGGGATTCAGGAGGAAGAAAGGGGTTAATTAGGAGTCCTGGTAGCTTAGTGGTGGGAATTCAACAGGCACATAGTTTGAATCCACCAGGTGCTCCCCTGGAGAAAGATGGGCAGTCTCTTCCCACATGATTAAGTGCCTCTGAAAACCCACCAGAGGGTCAGCTTTGGGTAGGTTCCTAATCGAAGGTACACAACAAAAGCAACAGGGGAAGCATAATGTATTTTTAGGGAAGTAAAACTATTCTGCTTGACATTCAAATGGCAGGTACATGATATGCCTTTGTCCAAACACTTAGAACTATACAACACATCTGTTTTGCTGTTAGCCGCCATTGACTCCTGGTAACCCTGAATGTGTAGGGTAGACTTACTCCATGTGGCTTTCAAGCATGTGACCTTTGGAAATGGATCATCCAAATCTGGACCACCCAGACACTCCCTAAAATGCCAAGAACTAACCCTAATGTAAACTATGGAATTATGTTCATAATAATCTGTCAATTTTGAATCATCCTTTGTAAAAAAGGTACCACATGAATGAATGTGTGATGTTATGAATAGAAACAATGTGCAAGGGAAATAAGAGTATAGGAAAATTTTCCGAGATTTCTTCACAATTTCCCTGTAAACTTGTAACAGTTTTTTTTTAAATTTAAAAAATAGCCTGACATGAGAGTGAAAGGAAAGAAAGTTATGAGAAAACTCTGAAGAAAGTGAATAGTCTTTTTGTGAATCAACACACACACACACACACACACACACACACACACACACACACACGCTTACTCAAGGAAAGCAAAGAGAAGCAGAGATCTTGGGGACTGCTGTACTCTGCAGTATTTCATCCCATGAGTAGAGGAGTGGCTACCACTCACCCTGATTTCCACAGATGGGAGGTGAACTCTGACTACTGTGAGAAGGTGAGAAGGTGAGGAAAACTACCATTGACTGACGATTCTGATAAAATATTCTATTCAAGAAAACTGATCAAAAATGTGGAAATGCAGAAATGCTCAAATTCTCATGGAATTCAGAAATTGTGGAGCCATGGAGGTTCATTGACTGTTTAAAATGATTGCCTGGGGTAAATCTTGAAATATAAATAAAAAGATCCCCTGACCTATTCTTAAAACCAAGAAAAGTGCAGCTCAACTAATAAAGAATATCTTTCTTGAGAATTACGCTCTTTTAAGAACTGACAGTACAGTATAGGATCAAACTGGCAAAAACCCTCAGAAAAATAGATAGAAACCTGAGAGGATAGGACACTTATTTTAACATGAAGGGGACAACTCAGGAAAGGAGGTTGAGAATAGTTGCACAATTTAAAGATTATAATTAATGTCACTGGATTATACATGTTGAGACTCCTGAATTAGCACTTGTACAGTATAGACTCTATACATAAAATAAGTTATTTTAAATTTGAAAGTTCAAATTTATCTTATGATAAATGATAAACTTTGATTCTAGATAGTTGCTAGTAAGAAGTCTTGGTGGCATAGCAAATAACTTGCCAGGCTGCTAACTGAAAGGTCAGCAGTGAGGCCACCAGGTGCATCTTCACAGCGAGATGAAAGTGTTTTCCCAGAAAAGTTTACAGCCTCAGAAGCCTAATGGACATTAAATATGAGCTGAACTAAACTTTGGTAGTGGGTTTGACTGTGTAGATCATAACAAATTATGGTTGACTCTGAGAAGAATGGGAATCCCAGAACACTTGATCGTTCTAATGCGAAACTTATACTTGGACCAGGAGGCAGTCATCAGAACAGAGCAAGGGAACA